CTGATGCAGGAGTAACCTTTGGGTTCAGGTTTCACATGAGGACATGCCAGCCAAGGCTGGTGTATTCATAATTTGGCCAAACAGATTGAGTGTTGACTTGTAAATCTTTCCAACACATGGCAGTGGCAAGTGATAAGAGTGGAATAGATTTCTGGTCATCTGTGTGATGGGAAGAAATTGGAGTCTTTATCACTATAACCCATTGCTTCAGGCTACAGTGTGCATAGAAACATAGAAAATAGGAGCAGGAGTAGGCCATTCAGCCCTTTAAGCCTGCTGCACTGTGTTTATGGTTATGGTTTATGAGTATCCAATTCAGTACTTTGTTCCCATTTTCTCCCCATATCCTTTGATCGCTTTAGCACCAAAAAACTATATCTAGCTGGGGAGGCGATGGTTGAGTGGTATTTTCGCTAAGCAATTAATGCAGAGACCCAGATAATGTTCTGGGGACCCAGATTTGAATCCCATCATTGTAGACGGTGGAATTCAAAATCAATAGAAATCTGGAATTAACAGTCTAATAATGACAGTGTTAATTGTCAGTAAAGCACATCTGGTTCACTAGTATCCTTTAGGGAAAGGAAATTGCTAACCTTACCCAGTCTAGGATACATGTGACTCCAGATCCACAGCAATGTGTTTGACTCTAAACTCAGGAACCCAATTAGGGATGGGTAATAAATGCTGGCTTAGCTAGTAATGCCCATGAGTGAACAAAAAAAAATCCTTCTTGAAAACATTCAATATTTTGGTCTTAATCTCATTGCATGGCAGAGAATTCCACAGGTTCACCACACTGCAGGTGAAGAAATTTCTTCCCCTCTCCGTCCGAAAAGGCATATCCTTAAATTGAGATCCTGGGTCTGGACTCTCTTGTCAACGGGAACATCCTTCCTGCACTTACTCTGTCTAGTCCCATTAGAATTCTGTAGGTTCCTATGAAATCCCCCCTTATTCTTCTAAACCCCAGTGAGTATTGTCCTAGCCGATCCGATCTTTCTTTATGCGTGAGTCCTACCATCTCAGGAATCAGTCTGGTAAATCTTCAATGCATTCCTTTCAGAGCCAGAACATCTGTCCTTGGACAAGGAGACCAAAACTACACACATTGCTCCAGGTATGGTCTCACCAAGGCCCAGTACAATTGCAGCAAGACATCTCTGCTGTACTACTAGAATCCTCACACTATGAAGGCCAATACACAATATACAATTTACCATCTTTACCACATGTGGAACCTACATGTGTGTTTTCAGCGATTGGTATACAAGATCACCCAGGTCTCATTGCACCTCCCCATATCCCAATCTATCACCATTCAGATAATAATCTACCTTCCTACTTTTGCAACCAAAGTGGAGAACTTCACATTTATTGTACTTCATTTGTCCCAGCCATACAGAAGCATTTTTGCTTTCTCCTCATAGTTTACCCTCTCACCCACCTTTTGTGTCTCGGAAACTTGGAGATATTCCATTTAATTCCCCTTGTCTAAGTCAATCGTTCGTATCTGCAAGAGTTCCATTCCTGACAACCCCTGTGAATGATGAAATTCACGAGTGCAGAACTCGGAGAAATATGCGAGTTTTGCCTCTGGATGTTGAATTTTGTTACTTTTTTTTGGCATGGATAGGCAAATTCACAATTTGTGATTTCGCAAATACAGAGGATTTACTGTGTATATTGTGAATAGCTGGAGTCCAAGCACTGATCCCTGCAGCACACTGACAGTTACTGGCTGCCACTCAGAAGACTCATTTATTCCTGCTCTTTGTTTCCTGTCTGTCCACCCAGTTTTCTGTCCACATTAGTATATGACCCCAAATCCCATACACTTAAAGTGCAACTGTGAGCCATTGAGGTGGCAGGTTATTTGGACGGTTGATGTGAGAAAAATTCAGTGCCTGCCTAGGATTCAGAACCTGCCTCCTTACCTTACCTGTGGTGGAGATGACAGTGCTGTGGGTTAGATCTGTCTTGGTCAGAGAACTCAAGAAGGAGAGAATACATAGACAATGATTGTATTACCGTTGTCTTATTTACTTGTTTATCCTGAGCTGAGAAACTAACTAAATTCTTTTGCAACTTCAGCAATGCCATGCTTGGGAGTTTTACAAAGAAAGTCTATTGTTAGACACATTGTTTGTTAAAGAGAGTTTTTAACTGGTGACTGTTATTTGATAAGCTTCAATTTGCTTTGAAAGTTTTTTAACCAGAACAAGAGGACAACCCCATCATTGATGTGAATATGTAGTTTCTATGGAGGACTAAGATGCACTGATAACTTGTTCATAATTGCTTTGTTAAACTTATTCCATATACAACCAAGTTTATATTTCATTCAAGAAATGTGACAGCCAGTGGTGTATTTATATTGATTAAAATGGGGTAATCAGATTTCTCTTCAAATTTTAATAGCCCTAACAAGACCATAAAACAATGACCATTAAAGATCTATTTTATTTTGGCCATGAGAAAATGCCATCCAGACAGCTTGTGATGTTCAAATATCTGCTGTTTTTCGGTATTTATAGTGTACATGCTCTGACTGACTCCAGCTACCTAATCTGGAGACAACTGGATGCAGCTCAGAATTGACACAATTAAGTGGAAAGCTTTTTGCATTTTCTAGAGCTGGAGGACATTGCAGTGCTCCTCTGGTTGCACAGAGCAACTGTGGGTTGTTCACCCTCACCAAGCAGAGACCCTAGATCCCCTCCCTCCCCACCACTATATGCGCAACTTTGCAGCTGCTTCCACCAACGTCCTCATCTTATAAAATTGAGAGATGCAGATTATGAAAGGTGAGCTGTGCCAAGCATTTATTGGCATCTACAACTTGTTTGACTTATTCTAATGGACCTACAGACAACTTAACTTCTGCTCTTAAGCCTGTCTCTGCAGGTGAGCCATTGCAACGCATCATGAGAGTAGCAATGTGTTTGCAGCACTAAAATAATTAGACTCAAAATTAGACTTAGTCTCTGACCAGTAGACCATGATATTACATGCTAGTCTGTAAGAGAGAATCATGTAGTCTACCAGCTGTTGTTCTTCAAAGTGACAAATAATAATGTTTTGCTGCAAGATTGGAGATTTTTCCAATATGCCTAAATAACATGTTTATTGAGTAATCTATATTTCTTAATATATTAGTGTGTAAAGCAGAGTTTTGTCCGTCTGCTCCAGACTGATAAAATTTAAATCTCTTTACAAGTTGAAAGGATCCTTTTATATTAAATAATTTTAGCACAACTGTTCACAATTCAGTCCACCAGCATTAATTAGTAATATGACTTTAAGCCTGTGGAAATAAAAAAAAAACACCCAATTTGGTAGAGAGGCTTATCAGTTTCCTGAAACAATGAACAGGGCAAAAAGCTGTTAAAGGTGCACAAAAGAACTTTCTCTTACACTTGGTGGTAACATACCTGACCCAGAAGCATTTTTTTCTTGGGGACTGTTCAAATTTTTATTTCCCATTTTATGTAACAAAACTGTGAACTTGCTTTGTAAAGATACTGCACCTAGCTGAAATATTTGCTTTAGATTGAGAAGTAGTTCCATTCCTTAGATTTAGAAACCTGAACTTAGCCATGAGCTTCAGTTTACCACAGAAATATACATTGTGCATTTCTCATTGAACTGTCAGCATACTGCTCACAATTATTCAAGTTTGAATTGTGTTGTTCAATTTTATAATAAATACGAAGAAATGTTAATGTCCCCGGTAAGTTGTAATTTATAAATAACCCTGGTTTGATATTTGTCAGATTTTTTTTTTCTCAAGAAACCTCCAAACCATCACTGCTACCTTTCATGTTGTGCCTTTATCAGTCACATGGTTACCAGAGACAAATGATCAGCAGTGACTATGGGCCAGCAGCAACTGCATTATGTTAGTCATACTGTTTGTGCAGAGCAACCTCAGTATTTAAAAGAAATAAGCAATGATGGGAATGAAACACTCCAATGAGCTGTTGTTTCTAAATACAAGTTTGCCAAATTCTTATCTCGCTTAGTCGATCTCTTTTCAGTGTCAGTCAAATGATTATTTTTTTGTTTAAATCAGATCAGTCACATATTTACAATTTCATGTGTAGAAGGGAATAGAAACAAAATGTACATTTGAAACAAAATGTACTATCAGTCAAAGGTACACGTACAATTTTTTTCCATAAAACATATTGTCTCTTTATTACTGTAGGCCGTTGGCACAATTTTAAATACCTTGAGGTCAGAGAAAAATCATTTGAAAACTGGCACTTCTACATTTCCCCAAAGCATTAAAGTTTACCAATGTTCATCACCCTATTTTCAACCTTCTGGTATTTCTAAAGTGCAGACTCCATAGTTGGGTGAACGCTTTAGATGTCTATAGCACAAGCCTTTTTTGAGTTGTCATCCACTATTGATCTCTCTAATTTCCCAAATATACTTGGGACTTGGGTCAAATATCACTGTCAATTTCCAAGCTTTCTCTTTCTTTTTTGCTTTGTTCTTCTTTATGATACCACTAGAATCAGCACCTCCCATCCCTCCACCCTTACCTCCTGTACCCCATGCAAGTAATCAAACATCACATATGAACATTAATGTGTTGCATGATATTTGACCATTGAACATCATAGGAGAGCTTCATACTACACTCAACACACACGTGCACTTTTCAATAGAGTTAATTAGTAGTGACCAGGAACCTTTCCAGTTTGAGGGCATTGGGCCAATTTAATTAGTGTCAGTGCTCTACCAGATGAGATCACCCAAGTCAACATGGAAAGGGCTCTCTGGAAATCTCCCTGGTGTGCATGATCAATACAGTTTAATATGTGATTAACTACAAAGCTGTCAATTTATTTTTAAACGACAACATATTTTCTATATAAAACTACATTATTAAATGTTGATATTTGACCTATAGTTTTCTCTATCCTTTATATCTTTGTTTTAATTTTTCCACTTATGAGTTACTGAAAGGAAGCTCTGATTTATTACAGGAAGTTAAAGAATGAGCTCATCAAAATCCGAGGTTCTTCAATAAATCGAAGAAAGCAGCAAACCAGTGACCGAGTCTGTAAACGATGTCAGAAGACACTTGGCCTAATCTTCTTCAGAGGAGACCTGTGCCAGACATGCAATGACCGTGTGTGTACACAATGTCGAGTTATAGTCCATGATGGGACCTGGAAGTGCACCGTGTGTGCTAAAGTTGCGTATGTATTTAATTTTAAAGCAAGTAATAATCAACAAAATAAGCCAAATAATTCTATAATGCTAACTATTTATGATCAAGGCATTTTGCAACATAGCCTTAGTCACAGTCACAGATACAGGCAACCACAATCACAATGAAGCATTGCTGTTCCTGTCACAGTTTACTTCCTGTCAACACCCACATTATGAACATGTACTGTGCTATCTTTTGTATATGTTATCATCAAAATGACACTCATCGTGCACTATATCCAGAAATTAACTACAGAACCGCTAAAGCTCAAACATGCCTGAAAAGCCACTTTCATTTTAAATGTTTGTTTTATATCTGTATGGGAAAAACACAAAACAGCATATTTACTTCATCTTTTAAATAATTGCTTGCTGTGAATACAATGTATGTTTGCCTGTCACATTACTGCTTATTTCCATTATTACAACACATGTTCACAATAAAATGAAAATTTGCCTGCAAAACGCATTCATGGAGGTGCTGAACATTAAAAATGGCTCTTATAAAATCCTAATATAATTTATCATAAGTCTATATTAAGTCAATTTCACAGCTTCATCACTATAATTTCATTAATACATGCCAATTTAGTGGAAACCAAAATAAATAGGCTTGTACTGGCCACTAATCAGGCACAACCAAAACTTAGTTTTCAGCTGTTTGAAATGAGTCAGTCAGAAGTCTGGAGTTTTTAAATCTAATTTTAATACTTTTAAATGTGGTGATTGCATTCACCCTAATTAGCCACAAATACTGTTTCACTATTTGATATTTATTGTTCTGCATCTTCAAAATACAGAAAGAAATCTAATAGAGTCATACAGCACAGAAGCAGACCCTTAGGTCCAACTAGTCCATGTTGAACATAATCCATGTTGAACATAATCCCAAACTAAACTAGTCCCACCTGCCTGCTCCTGGCCCATATCTTTTCTATTCAAGTACTTAGCCAAATGTCTTTTAAATGTTGTAATCGTACGCACATCCACCACTTCCTCAGGACTTTCATAAATTCAATTTTACTGAGACATTGCTTTTATAATATTTTGTCAGTATTACTTTTCAGAAAGTACAAAAGCAAAAATTCTAATACATCCCCATTGCAAAATGCATGCTTGTACGTTTTAGGACATGGCTCTAATAATGGTTCTGTAGGGAAATGGACTCATTTGGGTTTGCAAATTCCTCTGAACAAATAGCCTTACAAAGAATACCAGAAGATGACAGATTCTATTCGATAGTAAATCTGTGTTACCTCTTAAGAAGGTAAAAAATAGAAACAGAGTAGGCTATTTATCCCTTTTGAACCTGTTAGCTATTCAATTCTATCATTGCCAATCTACCTCAATTTTACCTTCTCATATCTCCAATCTGTAATTTCCTTGGAAATATATCTTAAAATCTATTAATGTTCTCTTAATATCCTGAAAAAGTTGAATGAGCATCCACAGAGCTATAAAATTCCAAAAATCAACAACCTTCTGAGCGGAAGTATTTGTCCTCATCTCTGTACCAAATGGCCAATCCTTTATTCCAAGACTGTGATGCCTGGTTTTAGACTAACTAACCAAGGTAAACACCTTTCTAGCATCTACACAATGAACCATTTAAGAATTTCATATGTGGTCTGTGTCTCTTACCTATCTCTAATTTCCCTTGTGAAGGTGGTGGTGAGTCATTTTCTTGAAGCCACCGAGATCATTTGGTGTAGCTACACACACAGTGCTGTTATGAACGCACCCCTAAGATTTTTACCCAGTGTTGGTGATAGAGCAATGATATCATTCCAATTCAGGATAGAGTGTGACTTGGAAGGAAAACTGCAGGTGGCAGTCTTCCCATGTGTCTGCTGCCCTTGTCCTTCTGGGTAGTGGACGTCATAGTGCTGATGAAGGAGGCTTAGCACGTTGTTGCTGGGCATCTAGAAAATGGTACACCTTGTTCTCTTCCTGTGTTGGGGTGGAGGCTATGTATTTTTAAGGTGCTGAATGGGGTGACAATCAAGCAGGTTGTTTGTCTTTCCCTGGATGGTGTTGAGTTTCTTAGATTTTTTTAAAGATGAACACATCAGGCAAGTAGAAGGTACTCCATCACACTTCTGTCTTCTGCTCTAAAGACCGGAAGTAGGCACTGAGGAGTCAAGAGGTGAATTATTCACTGCAATATTCCCAATCTCTGGCTAGCTCCTGTAACCACAATACTTAAACTGCCAGACCACCTGCTGATCAATGATAAGGCCTGGGATGTAAATGGTAGGGGATCCAGCAACGATAACATCTTTGAATGTCAAAGAACGTTACTTAGGGTTCTTTCTAGGGGGTGATGGCCATCACCTTGCATTTAAGCAATGGTAATGTTACTTGCCATTTCTCAGCCCCGGTCTGAAGGTTGTCCAGGTCTTGCTGTATATGTGTGCAGATTGCTTCATCATCTGATGAGTTATGAATAAGACTGAACATTGTGCAGTCATCAGTGAGTATTCCCATTTCTCATCTTTTAATGGGAGGAAAGAAGGTAATTGACAAAGCAGCTGAATATCCCAAAGTGAGCATCAATGAGCAGATTGTTATTAAGTATATTCTGTTCGATTACACTGTCAATGACATCTTCCATCACTTTGCATCTGATTTGAAAGTAATTGTCCAGTTTGGATTTGTCCTGCTGTTTCTGGACATACTTAGGCAATTTTCCAGATTGTGTCATAACTGCACTAGATCAGCTTGACTGGAATATGGCTAGTTCTGGACATAGGTCTACAACGTGTGATGCTATTTGGGCCCATCATCTTTGCTGTAATTCAGTGCTTTGATATCATATGAATTAAATCAAATTGACTAAAGACTGGAATCCATGATGCTGAGGATGTCAGGAGGAGGCTGAGATGGATCTCTTGAGTATTTGTGGTTGACTATGGTTGCAGGGGCTTTATCCTTGTCTTTTATACTTATATGCTAGACTTTTACAATCGTCCAGGATTTAGATGCAAGATGCAGAGGAGATTTACCAGGATGCTGCCTGGAATGGAGGGCAGGTCTTATGAGGAAAGGTTGAGGAAGTTAGGGCTTTTCTCATTGGAGCGAAGAAGGATGAGAGGTGACTTGATAGATGTGTACAAGATGATGAGAGGCATAGATAGAGTGGATAACCAGAATTTTTCCCAGGGCGGAAATGACTATCACAAGGGGGCATAACTTTATGGTGATTGGAGGAAGGTATGGGGAGATGTCAGAGGTAGGTTCTTTACACACAGAGTGGTGGCTGTGTGGAATGCACTGCCAGTGGTGGTAATAGAGTCAGATACATTAGGGACATTTAAGCGACTCTTGGATAGGCACATGGATGATAGTAAAATGAAGGGTATGCAGGTTAGTTTGATCTTAGAGTAGGATAATAGGTCGGCACAACATTGTGGACCGAAGGACCTGTACTGTTCTATGTTCTAGATGTCTGAGGAGCATCCTCTGCTTGTTAATGTTTTATTTATCCACCACCATTCATGGTATATAGTCCCAGTCTACTCAGTCTCACTTCACCACCTCAGTGCTTGAGCATGTCTAGGAAACATTTGTTGCATTACCTCCAAGGCTATTATAACCTTCCACCAGCAAAGAGACAAACACTGCGCAGCATTCAAAGTGTGTTCTCATCAAAGCCCCACCTAATTTCAGTGAGGCTTCTTTATTCTTAAAATAATTTGATGAGATTAGCAAAGCAAGAGTTTGCCCTTTGAAATCCATGTTGACTTAATTAAGACTATATAGTAAAGTTTTCAGTTTCTAGATGTTTTTCCTTTTATTGTTTAGTTAGAATTGCATTAGTGTTCCTACTGCCAATATTATGTTGTCTAGCTGGTTTGCAGTTTGCTGGACATTTTGCCATCTTCCTTAAATATCGATATAATCAACACCAGTCTATGGCAGGATTTTAAATAGTAATAAGGTCCCTGTGTGTTGTTCATGGATATTTTAACCCGTGCACAAGAAAGAAATCTCATAAAACCAGTTTAATTAGATTTTGTTTCCTTTCTTCATTCATTGAAATCATCTTTCAGTGTTACATTCACTTGATCCATCTCCCTGACTTTTTTTTTAATCTTGTGACATGGAGGCTGCTGACTGGGCCAGCATTTATTGCCCTTGAACTGAGGCTTGCCAGGCCAATTCAGAGGGCAGTTAATAGTCAGCCACACTGCGGTGGGTCTGGAGTCACATTTAGGCCAGTCCAGCTAAGGACAATAGGTTCCTTCCTGAAAGGAGTTTAATGAAGCAGATGGATTTTTATGACCATAAACAATGGCTACGTGGTCAATCTGAGACCAGAATTTTATTAAATTAAAACGTAACCATCTATCAGGGTGGGATTCAAACCCATGTCCCCAGAACATTAGGATTCTGGATTACTAGTCTGGTGGCATTGTGACACCACAGTGTCCTCGCTGGCTGAAGCAAAATATCTATTTCATATTTCTACGATTTTGTAATCACTGGATATATCCTCGTAGTTCCAAGTGCCACAATTCTCGTCCTGATTTTCCTTTTTGTATAAAGTTACCTGGCTATACAATATTTTATATTATTTTATATTTCTCAATAATTGAAGTTCATCGTTTCTCTTTACCTTAATTATTTTCTTCTAACTTCATTCCTAGTCTCATCATAGTTTCCCTCGTTATTGCTCATGCTATCCAATTTTTCCATATCCATCATTCTCCTTGCCATTAACACTCACTTTTCAAAAAAAAATGTATGTAGATAATACTGGCTGCACCAGCATTTGTTGCCTTTCCATGATTGCCCTTGAGAAGATGATGGGGACCTGCCTTCTTGAACAGCTACTGTTTGTGTGATGTAGGTACACTTGCAATGCAATAGGGATGTGAGTTCTAGGATTTCAACCCACTGACAGTGATGGCACAGTAGTATAGTTCCTTGTGAGGATGGTGTTTGGAGGTGTACTTTGCAATTAGCGGTGCTTTCGAATATCTGC